AGAACTTTAGTTCTCTATATACATATTTAATTAAGCCCATCTACTTAATCTAGGCTGCTAGAATCCATCTGTGTGGTGCAGATTTTGGCATCAGCTTTCAGTCAGCTTTCAAATACATATAAATGGATCTTCTGTTTAATCTGCTTGTACCACCATTGAGTTCCTTGATTTATTGCCCAGAAAAAGTCTAAGATCCTGAAAATGAAAACACATATATTAAGACCAAATTTTTTGAAAAGTAGTTGTAACCTCTCACTCATTGGACAGTTGGATAATCACTATTAAAACCAACAGAAAACATGATAATGAGGCTGCTCATCACTTGAAGTCAAGTATGTGTGTAGTATGTTTCTTACCCAAATATGTAGCATGAGTGGGACAGGAGAAAGAGGAAACATGGAATCATTTTAAAATTGCTGGCGATAGGAGCAGGTAGGGTGAAAGGTGCACAGTAAGGAACGAGAAGGAAAAAGAGGAAGAGATGGGCAGAGAGATGTTGCTTTCTTGTCAGCTTCAGATTTTCCCTGGCCAGAGTGCTGTGGGCTCTCAGGAAGGTGCAGAAAGACAAACAAAACAAAACATAGAGGAAATTTCTGTCCAGTTTCTCAGGTGGGTTTGAATACTCCCTTCTTTGGGAGTATTCAGTGATCAGATAGCTCTGCATTGCCACAGATGGAACAGTTAACTTCTATATATCAAACTTGTAGCCATGGTTTGAGAAAACATTCCTGCCTTGGCCCAGGCACTTTCCCCCTATCTGGATAACTATCATTTTAGAGTACTGGAGGTGGAACCCAGCATCTCCCACATTACAGGCAAGCACTCTGCCACAGGGTTACACCACCATCCCCAGCCTTATATGGCATTTCTGCACTATTGATGCATTTCCTGAGCATTGTCCATGTTTTTGACCATCTTTCTCTTAGGGTGTCTGCAACTTTTCTTTCTGTTCTAAGCCTTGGTGTTTTGGCTTGGCAAATATTTGAGGTTTCAAAATCATCTTTTAATGACAGTCCCCAGAATGATCTTTGGTAGTCAGAACTTTTTCACATAGGGATAAAAGCAAGTCTGCAATGGAAATGATACACCTAATATACTTAATAGTAGCCTTAAGACCCTGACCTGATACACCTAATATACTTAACAGTAGCCTTAAGACCCTGTCCTATTAAAAAATATCATGGCTGGTGCTGGGGATTTAGCTCAGCAGCACAGCGCCTGCCCCGCAAGTGCAAGGGCATGAGTTCGATCCCCGGTACCAGAAAAAAAAAAAAAAAAGTTACCTAAAAAATATCATGGCTTTCTAGTATCTAAACTCCAAAAGTCATGTATTCAAAATGTTTCACACAGCCTTACAAACTATTGGAGTGCTCTGACCCACTGGCAGAAGTGTTGCTAACTGACATGTAATTGTATTATATTTGGCTACCAAAATATATTTTATTCATAATGTTTTTTTACAAAGTATCTCTTTCTCCAATGAAGTCACCCTACATTGGATTAATACATGGACATTATATAGTCATATCAAACAATTTGTGCACATACCCATTTTTAAGGACCACTGATAATTTTCTTAGAATGTGTATATTGGAAGATTTGTTGGAAGATGATAATGAAACTTGCCCTGCATTTCCACTAACTGAGAGGAAAATCCATTCTACAATAACAGTTGTGGCCACTAATAATGTTTGCTGCTTGCTTACAAAGAATGGGCATTTAAAAGGATTGCATAGATTATTTCAGCTATTTCACACAGCAAATATCTGAAAGAATTTTGTCTCTGCTTTATATATTAATTTTGAGACCAAAAGATATAAATTTGCTTGGTATAATCCACTGTTAATTGTATAAAACTGATATGAGCTCAGACTGTTTATTAACTGTGCCCTCAGCCTCTGACGATAGCATTTTCGGGGCAGAATATTTCCACTGAAGTCTGATTCTTCTGCTAGTAACGATAGCCACCCTTATGATGTGATGTCAAAATACGACAAATAATCATATAAGGTATGTGGCGCCAATCATCCAAATTGAGACATAGATCATGGGTTTTGCATATGAACTAAGTGGCCAGGAATGGCACATTAGCCTCCCGAGGATGCTATCACAAATACTATGAATGTAGTGCCTTACAAGAAGTCTATTAATTTACAGTAGAGGGCAGAACTCTGAAATCAAGGTGTTACCAGGACTGTCCTCCCTTGGTCGATTAAAATGGTGAATTCCACTGTGCCTTTTCCAGCCTCTGGCAGCTCTAGGAATTTCTTGACTTATGGATGCGTAGCCCCAGTCTCTGCCTCCATCTTCACGTGGCCTGTTCCTCTTCTCCTGGTCTCTCCTCTGTGTGCTCTTACAGGAATTTCGTCATTAGATTCTAGATAATCCAGGATGATCTCACCTCAAGATTCTCAATTCAGTTACATCTACAAATGTTATTTTTCCAAGTAAGGCTGTCGTTCAGCCCACTACAGATGGGCCATTGTAGTTGTTATCACTGCCCCATGGTTGGAGATTTGTAATCAATTCATTCAAATTGTTGCTCACTCTTCTCTTTATTTTTTTTTTCTTTTAGAAGCAGTGTAGAAGGGTCTCTGTAGATGTGTGTCTTAGATTTGTTATTTCAAAAGCTATTATTCAAAAGTAATAAATTTTTGCAGTAATTAAAAAGACTAAAAATGACTTCGTTTCCATAAAACACTGAATATTCGGCACATGGTGATTATTCAAAGAACAGCAGCTTCAGTCCAGAGAAGAGGAATATTCTGCCTGTAGAAGTTAAGAGTAGGGTTGCTTTATGAGGCAAGTCATACTTGAAATAAATTTAAAGCCTAAATGGCAGTTTTTTTGATGGTGTAAGAAGGAAGAGATTCTAAAACAGAGAAATACACTTAAAACGGTAGGGAGGCTTAAAAGATCTGGGCACATTAAGAAATAAAACGAGATGCTGGTGGCAGAAGGTGAACCTGCAAAAATTTTTCTGCAACCAGAATCTCAAAATGATTCCACAGACTTTAGGCTCTTCTGTATTCCAGTTATTCAACTATTCACATGTTTCTCATACTGCTGACCTGTCCATTACCAATTGACACTACCTAGAAACAGTCCCCATCAGATCTTCCCTGTACTATTTTTAGAGCTTTGTATATTACTTAAAATTGCACTCAGTCACTGGTAACAACAAAATGAAAATGCTTCAAATACATAAGGTTATATGCCCTGTAACACATGCCTAAAGCTAAGTGACTGTTTCCATTGGCCCCATGACAGTCGTGGTGACATCTCTGCTATTCTTTAGGACGTTCTCTTTGGTTATTATGTGGCTGCTGCAACTTTAGCCATCATATCTACATTCAAAACAAAAAGGAGTCAGGAGACCTACATGTAGAATATTTCATCATTCAAGAAACTTAATTTTCCTAGGAGCAATTATTTTATCCACTATGAGATAATATTTATGTTGTCACACTGCCATGGCAAAGAAATCAAGGCAGGAGGCTTGGATATTGGGATAACTAAATGCCTTCCATGCTTTATATCTAGTAGTCTTGACTCCATTCTCTTCCCTAAATCATGCTCCATTTTGCTAGGCTAATCAAAGTTCATACAGACAAGCAGGATCAGATATTACTGTTAACTTCCAGTAGCATGCAGAAACTCCTTTTATATAATTCAATACCACTTCTGAGTCTTACCTGCTTTTCTCATGTCTTCTTGTGCTATTTACTCTGTTACATTTTGTGTTATTTTGATTCTCTCTTCTTTTCCCTCTCCTTCTCCTTCTCCTTCTCCTTCTCCTCCTCCTCCTCCTCCTCCTCCTCCTCCTTCTCCTTCTCCTTCTCCTTCTCCTTCTCCTTCTCCTTCTTCTTTGGTAATGTGGACCTAGAATTCACCCAAAAGTTTAAGTTATACCCTGCCTTATATTTTAATATTCATGGCTCCACTTGCCCAGTATATCCCTACAATCCATATTGTATACCCCAAACTTCCAATTTAATCTTCAAGACATGCCTGAATCCATTAAACTTGATCTTGCTGTCATGCTTTCCTCTGTTTTGGCTGTTAGAGACATTACTATGCTGTCTCACACACATTTGCTCTTCACAGTCAGTTTGCATATCTTGTTAGGTGCTGGGTATTTCCACTGCCAGTGGCTCTCAACCGCCTCCCCCAGGATATTTGGTCCTTGAATCCAGGACAATCATTCTGTCATGTCTGGCTCCTAATCAGAGACACAAAGATGTCACATCTGAGGGACAAGTACCACTACTCTGTTGTCCAAGCAGCCCACCGAGATCATAAACTCAGCCCCAATAAAAAAATTAGAGCAACAAAGCTTAAGACACTTTATTTGTAAAGAGGGAAAGAAGGAAGAGGAAAGGAGGCAATAGATAGCTACCCTGATAAGAAAGAATCCAGAAAGATGGAGGACCCAGGGGCCTTTTGTTCCTGGTTGGTTTTTTTGGGAGGGCAGTGTCAAAGATCCTTTCCCCCAATCCAGAACATGCCTTAACTTGATTGACTTCTGGGCAGGTCTATCTACCGTCATTTCTTCCAGTGCTCAAGGTGTAGCTTCTGTCTGTCTGTTTGTTTGTTTGTCCACAGTGTACCTTTTAAGGTCTTATCTTTGGGGCGTGTGGTGGGTTGGCAAGAGGGTACCTTATCCATGGTTAGCTTAGAGCTAGTAAGGGGACATGCAGGGACCTGCTGTACCGTACAATGACCCTAGAGTGAATACTATAGTGACTCTACAGTGTGTGCTCATCCCTATGTACATATGTACAAGAGAACAACAAAGCTTAAGACATTTTATTTGTAAAGAGGAGAAGGAAGGAAGAGGAAAAGAGGAAATAGATAGCTCCCCATATATATATATATATATATATATATATATATATATATATATATAGCTATCTATAATATATATGGATGAGCACACACTGCCTTAAAGTTGGTCACGCCCCTTGTTTTCCCTGTATTTATTGAAGTTGGGGGCAGCTTCTTACTTGTGCACTTTGCTTTCTCTCTGTGCTCTTCCTGTCAGCTCATTTTCTCGTCTCCTGGTGCAAATCCCAAGGCCATTTGGTACCTTTCTTCATCTGGTTTTTCTCTTTTTTATTCCTGTCTTGACCTGCTTCCTAGGGGAATCTTTCTAGTAAAGTTTGTTTTTAATTCCTCCTAGTCAGGATTAGCTAGAAGACCTAAGGAGGAGCCTATTTTACTTTCTTATCCATAGACCCCTTCCCCTACAATTCCCCGGATACTGTCCCCCTTTCCAGGGTGGCTTGTGTCCCGTGTCTGGCTGGTGCAGAGAGACAAAAGCCGTGATGCTTTGATTCAGTTCAAGACAGCCATGAAAATTCATTCCAGCTGCATCGACCTCTAGGAGATCGGATGACATTTGATCAAATCTAACTGTACCTGCATTATGGATCTGCCCCAATTGGATTTCCTTATTTCTTTCCAAGAACATCCTCTGACAATTCTCTTCACTAAAACACCTATGTAGAAATTGCAGTTCAGAGTCTGTTTCCAGGTAATCCAATAAAAATGTTTCTTTTGACATTTACAACAAACTAATACATGAAGTCCCCAATTTACAAATGAGTTCCATTCAAGGAGAAAGTTCATAAACTGGATTCCTTTGTAAGTCCAACAAAGTAAGTCTAATACACATTTCCATACATCCTGGGCTCTGACTGAGCACTGTACTACTGTACACCATTGCACTATTATACAGTAAGCACACAGCAGCACAACTGTGACAGTGGCCTGCAGACATAAGCTACTTCCGGGATTTGTTCACATGTACAAATGTTCATATTATAAGGTCTATTCATATCAGTGAATGTCAGCAGCTGAATGTTTGTAAGCTGGGAACTTAACGTACTTCCATTAACCAATATATAGTTCTTTGGTTATTTTGATTAACTTTGGCTTGAGGATAATTTTGTCTGAAAATAGGATAGCTACTCAGCTTGTTTTAGTGTTTCTATTGCATGGAATATTGTTTTCCATTCTTTGATTTTAGTCAAATTCTTTTGGTGTTAAAAGTTTTTCTTTCATACAGCATACCATTGGATTTTTTTCTTGATTCACTGTCCTCATCTGTCTTTTGATTGGCTTGTTTAGTGCATTTACATTGATATTTATACTTCATAAATATTCCTGTAATGATATTATTTTTCTGTTGCTGTTTTAGTTTCTCTCCCTCTGCTTAATTGCTTTTCCTACCTGGTATATCATTTTATTGGACCTTTGGGCATTGTGACCTTCATCTTCTCCGTCTGAGATATCCTTAAGGAGATTCTGGAGTGTTGGTTTGGTGGTCATGGACCTCTTTATTTTATCTTTATCATGGAAATATCTTTTTTTGCCAGGATATAAGAGTCTAGTTTGAATTTTTCTCATGATTAGTGATTTTTGATAATTGAAAGAATTAATCTTAAAATGTCTCCCCAAAGTGATCTGCACACTGAATGCTATGCCGTTTGTCAAATTTCCAGTATCACTCTTTAGAGAAAGATTTAAAAATTCCTAAAATACAAATGGGGCCATAAAAGTCCTGAAATAGATGAAATAATCTTGTGCAAGAAGAACAAAACTAGAGCATCAAGCTATCCAACTTAATGTATACTGCAAAGCCAAAACAGTGTTATATTCATAAGTATAAAAACAGATCTCCAGAATAATGTAGTGGAATAAAGAGCCAGTGACTAAACCTACACTTGTATATCCAACTGATTTTTTGCAAAAAGCAAGAACATATAGTGAAAGAAATCTCTTTAGTATATGATGCTGGAGAGACTAGATGGCTAAATTCAGATAAAAGAAACTAGGTCCCCATCTCTCCTACACAAAATCACTTCTATGTGCTTCAAAGACTTACATGTAAGAACTAAAACCACAAACTATTGGAAGACAGCACAGGGAAATGCTACATGACTTTGATATGGGAAATAACCTGCAGATAAGATCTCAAAGGTACAAGCAACGTAAGTAAAAATAGACAAATGATTTCTATTAAATTTAACAACTTCTGTCCATCAAAGAGACAATGTATATAACAGGAAGAAGTATTTGCAAAGTATTCACTGGACAAGGAAGGCTTAATAGCCAGAACTTATAAGGAATTCGAGTGACACAACAGCAAAGAAACAATCTGATTCTAATTTGGAAAAGAAGATTTGAATAGACTTTTTCTTAAAGCTCCCTTTCCAGATGGCTTAAATAACCAAAAGGTTCAGTTCTCCATCCTATTCATCACTGTATCCAGAGTTTATCCTACAGAGATCTTATCTGAGCTTATGATTCGACTACCATCTCTACCATAAAACAAAATTCCCTGCCCTACTCTGTCTCTGGAATTCTAACCACTTATCTGTAAACATCCCTCAGTTTAGGCTGTTGGTGTCACAAACTCAATCTGTTATCTAGCCAAGGCGTACTTTCCAACTGAATGCCCACTGTTTTTAAAAACTACCCTCAAGCTCACACACACGGGCCCTTGAAGCCTCAGCAATTTCACATTTTTCTTTACTTCACTGATATATTTAGTGGGTTAGCAAATCTAGTCTGTTTTTCAAAATATTGGATGTTTCTTTTTTCCCTCTTCTTCTATCCAAGGTCAAGATTTGTCACCTTGATAAGATGAAATAGTTTTCCTTGCCTCAAGTCACTTGTCCCTGAATATAGATTTATATGTAATGTTAATAAACACTTACCTAATGTTCACCATTGATTTGTCAAGTTTTCCATCTTAGGAGTTAGGGATATTGCAGTAAATAACAATCACAGATGCCACCTTCTTGGAATTTGTAACCAGCGAGTGACATAAGTGGGAAAACAAACACATAATAATATTGTATGGGGAAGAAATAAATTTTATGAAAAAAAAGCACACTAAGAGAATAAGGAACAATGTGTTACTGAGACACACATTTTAATGCAATTGCTTTCCTTGAACATTTACATTTATATGCACTTAAGGGAAATTTATTCATATAGCTTTTCAGAATAAACATTTTGTATAATCTAGTATATGCAGTTTCTCCATTCAAAAATTTCTATTTTACTATTCAGTTACATCCATCAATTATTCACCTATAACATAAATTAAATAGATGCCAAAGGACTTAACTCAGGATTGCCTAATTTTCTCCCAATTATCCTTTCTTTTTTTAGTTATAAACACCAAACTCTAGAACTATTCGCTAACTTCCTGTGCTTTATGATATCAGAAGCACCCCCTAAACGTACTTCAGGTCCCAGTGCAAAAGCTCCTCTCCTTTGAGAATTACTTCTAATCAAAATAATTTTCCCAAACTAGGTCACACATTTAAACACATATATGACCTTGTAATTACCTGTTTCGTTATTCATGTTTTATCTTTCCATTTGAATCAACACTTCTAGTAAAAGACTATCAAGTCACTTTGCACTATTCTCAGTACACTAAACTTTTCAATCTTAGAAAAAGGTTGGCATACAAGCACGTCTTTGTTAAGTCTTTATCGATCAATTGGATGAGTTGAACAAAGGGAGCCTTTCTGGCTCGATCTACTGCGTCCTGAAGTTATCTTTCACTCTTGGTGACACTGAGCTTACACTGACATAGAATCGTCACATTTGATTTGTCCATTGATGTCTTTTGTTTCCCCTCTTGACAGCAGTGTGCTATTGTAATCCAAACAGATTTTGTATCATTTTTTCTAGAGTGAAATGGTTTCTCATCAGGACGTGTGCTTTCCACACAGGCCACAAGGGGGAGGAGCAGTTCTTTGCCACGAACAGGAATAACTGGCGTGGTTTGATTCTTCTACACTGTCTGCCCCAGTAATTTACCTTGACTCTTTCATGGCAGTTTCTATTTTTATTTTCTTCCTTCTGTGTATGTTTCCCACTTCTAATACCTACCCAGATTCTTAATTGTCTATATTTAAAGATGTGAGTATCTAAAATGTTACTACTGGTTTTGGGAAAATATTTATTATTGAAAATCATGCTTTAATAACCAGAAGTCAGATTACAAGGAAATTCTGACATGCACAGAAGTAGCATATATTTTTCTCTCAGTCTGGCACACAGTTGCATATACATTGGATTTCATACTTATCAAGCATGGTACAATCTTAACCAAAACTAGTAGAGTCTCAGCGCTGTCTATGCATGCAATTTTAGATTTAATAAGGCTATTAGAAATAATCTGGACCCAAATGTTCCAGTTTACAAATTCATTGCCTTATTTTTCCCCCCTCTTCTTTCTATACAGCTTCATTTTCTCTTGTCATTTTATTATAAAATCTTGAATACACAGACAAAATAATTTTGTACACATAAGCCAATATTGTGCTGAGAATTATTATTAAAATGTTATTTTGAGTTACGACTATCAACAACTTAAGTTAACCAAAAGTGATAAGTATCATGTTATAGGGATTAATTGAGTGAATTTGTGTCAATTTTGAGGTTTCCCTTTGAATGAAGAAATCAAATAAAAAAATAATAATAGAAATAAAGACAGTGCTATGATATTGTACACAGAAATGTTTCATGTATTTAAGGTTTGCTCCACAATTCCTCCTTTCTAAAGTTAGAACATAACAAAATCATGCTGGGGCAAAATATACTTATGGTTTTATTATCTCTTATTAAAAGGCAGCACTTCTTCACCCTACGCTACCTCACTACTACAACTTACATTGTCCTAAGTGAAATGGTGCTTCAGCCTCCATTCCCCAACATGCAGTGACACCAGGACAGGCACTCTGAGTCCCTCTCTCTAACCAAAATTCCTCCATTGGATGAAGAAGCAGCTCTTCTGATTGGTGAATGTGATGAGAGTCTGGAGTTTACCTGTGTCTCCCTACTGGATGAGGTGATTGCTATGAAAATTCTTGTCCATGAATGGCCCTGCCTCTTGGCCATTTCTTTCCCTAAAGAAGTGGTCTGTCCTGAAGTGGAACGTATTTTCTCCTTCTGCTGTTCTGTTTCCATTTAACAGCTTCCATAGGAACTATTCCGTCATTCTCTTATTTCTCTTCCCTAGGTTGAAGAGACTGATGGGTTTCCACCCCTGCCAAGTCATCATGGAGGCCATCCGACATGGTCCAGCACCTAAAACAACACATCTCTCGTCTCTCCCAGACTAACTTCCGCCGCCTTCTTTCCTCAGTTTAAGCACAACTTCCCATTTCATTTATACGTATGCGTGCATGATCCCTTCTTCCTAATCAGCATCTGTTATGTCACTTAGATAGCCTCCAAAAATCCTGCCCTCAGCCGAGCCCAGTATAGCCTTTGTCTCTCTGCCTCCTCCTCAGAGGGTCCTTGTGTCTCTTTAGCAGCCCTCCCGGCCCCAACAATAAAGGCTTTCTTTACCTTTGTTCTGCCTCTCACTCTCACCAAATATTACAGAGATCACATGTGAATAAGAAATAGTACAACTTACGACGGTGTAGTAGTTTCAGTATAATGCTGATCCTGGACTTGAATCTTCATGTATCTCCTTGAATTGGTCCTAAATTGTTTAGAACACGTAGGAAAAGATGTATGTGCAATTAAGTTTGTTCTTTGAGCCCCATAACCATATAACCAAGTAACTAATATTTATACTCTCATGGGGTCCTCAAAGTGACCTCAAAATTAACACAGCCAACTTAAATTCATAATCTTTCCCCTTGGGAGAAGGCACTCTCCTTCTGAAAGTGCATCTTCTCTGTGAAGAGTGGGTACACACGAAGAGTTTCCCCAGAAATGCCGTGCCTAATTAGTTCTGTGTCTCATAGCCGGTTTCTGGGCAGTTGATTTGACCAGACTTTTGACACAATGCTTTTGGTTATCATTTTTCACTTTTGTCCTATTTTCAAAACCACATTAATTTATTAGGTTAGATAAATAAAATACCTACTGAAAAATGCATGGCATTTGTTTGCCTGTGTTCATTATCATAAGCACAGAGAAGAATAAGAAAGCACAAGAGCCCTCAAAAATCTCTCCCAAATATGTAATACTTAAAAAATCTTTGGGTAATTTTGCCAAGATTCTCTACATATTAACAAGTAAGAAATGAAACAATTGAATTTTGGAAAGTAGCCAATTACCCATATTAATCCTAGCTGTAGTTATTATTGGTATGTGTGAAGTGTAAAAGAATTATGAGAAGCCTAAAATGTTGCAGCTTGGGAACTGTGACAAAGCTATGTCTCTATCTCCTGTGCGAGTTAAGTTTCACATTAACATGACATAGTTCAGGGATTACAGGAGTTGCATAAGCTTGCAACACCAAATAGAACTGAAGTCACATGATTCATCCAGATTACTCTGAGGTCAAGGAAGTGCATGTTATGGAGGTTTCCAAAAGAGTCTGTTCTGTACCTATTTCTGAAAGAAGCGTTTTGATCTTATTTGCAGGTTTGCAAGGGCAGTGACCGACCACATGGCCTGGTCAAGGCTGAATGGAAACAAAACATTTTCATTGAGTGGACGTGCTTCTCAGTTGTCACTAAATTTTTAGCTTAATCAAATGAAATAAACCACAGTTATGTCAATATTAGCACATGTATGATTGCCTGGAAAAGGAAACATCAACACTGTAAGTATTAAGGGTAAATACTCAGAAATAAAAGGTTTTAAAGTGACACTTCAAAAGTGTAAAGATCCCTGTCCTTCAACACTATTTTTAATCTCTTCATCTGTGCCTAACACATTCCTTACCCATTCCCACCCACTATTTATCATTTTTCTAAAGTTCTACAACTTTGTTTTGACAGAAAATTTGCTTACTTTGAATTTCACAGAGAAAACAGACTCACCATGGTTGATTACTGAACTCCTTTAACTAACAAAACTATGACTAGAAATATCGAGCCTCACACTCCTAGTGAATCTCTGGCTCTGTATGGCAATAAAATCCCAACTTCCCCACCTTCTCAGGGGCCCTTTTACCCAGATAACTGCTCTTTCTTGTGGGTAGTAGTGCACATATGTGACATATTTTAATTCTTTTCACATCCTCTTCTCACCTCCCTTGCCCCTCTCTCACCATCTCATTGTCTCTTTCTCATTTGCAAAAGATCTTTCTTCTAGTTTCCTATTGTCTTTTATTTTGCACTTATTGAGATAGCATATGATTTTTTTTTAATACAGTGTCTCTCTATGTAGCTTAGGCTGGCCTTGAACTCACTATTCAGCCCAGGCTGGCCATGAACACATGACTATTGATATTTTTCACAATCTAGTAATAGCTCCAACTTGGAAAATCCTATTGTAAAATGAGGGTGCTACATCTGATCAAGACTCTGAATACAGTCCTGATTTAAGTCAAGTGTCATGGTTTTAGGTCCAGGCCTCGAAAATTAGCAATGTGGGGCTAGACAAAGTGGAATTTGAACCCCAGCTCTTCTGTACTGCCAACTGTGTATCAAAGCATGGTCCTATGTATACTTCAACTGCTTTTTAGGTATGCATGGGTATAGTGTACAATAACCTGACTCAAACGATACGTCCAGAGGGCAAATTGACATGAATTTTCCCATCTTCAAATTTGAAATTAGTCTGATTGGAAATGTTCGAGGAATAATGACTAACATTTTCTCTATCTCATATAACATGAACAGACAAGTTGGTCTTTGCCTGCACACCACTTTGCAAATAAGGTTGTTAATCATCTGCTTGCTTTGTTAAAAGTAACTAGGATGAGGCAGCTTTCAGCTTTCCCTGATGTAATCTCTGACTGAAAGACCAGACTTCTCCTCTTAATTTTCATATATTAGCAAGGTCGGTGTTGAATTCACAGAAACATATTCTTGGAGTTAGTCATTCCAAAAATGACTTTGCATTTTGAGAGAGGTAGGCTGGAGGACTGATTACATAAATGTCACATTGTACGATAACAAAAAGTGACTGCTTACAGGTGAAAACCTTTCTCCATGCAGCACTGAAAAAGGCCAGGTGCAGTGTTTTGTGATTATATGAAGACTGGGGTTAATTTAGTTTGATGCTGAAGTTCACAGTGAAGATAAACATTATTTGCCTTACCCACCCCCTTGTGAATGCTTGGTGATAAGCCATGAATGATATGACTGAATTGCCTAAGGAAAGTTGTTTAGCCTGAAAAGAAAGCTAAAGATACATACAAATTTGTTAGAATGTCCTATTGTTTTCCTACACTCATATTAGACTAACTAGGGAAAGAGAA